AGGGAAGGGAAGAGGAAGAAGGGAAGGGAAGAGGAAGGAGGGAAGGGATGAGGAAACGGATGAGGAAGGAGGGAAGGATGATAAACTTCAGACGTGTCAGGTTCTGCTTTCTGTTTCTGGTTGTTGTTTTAGATTCCTCTTCTTACAGCAGACGTTCAGAGAAATGACAGATGGAAATTATAAAAACCACGTCCACGTCTCTGCACAATGTTATAAAAAGGATTCCTCCCAGCAGTGTGTGACAGCTCAGGGATGTTTTTCTGCGTCGTCACTTAGCTGGTTTTAAAGTTTTATGATAATACTGTGACACAGAGGTCTAAATAATGTGCTCTCACTCTCTGGAGGATTATGTTTCTGTTTGGTTCTCAGGTCTTTATGTTTCTCACGGACACAATCTCATGATCTACCACTAATCCACACACACACACACACACACACACACACACACACACACACACACACACACACACACACACACACACACACACAAACACACACTCTCTCTCTCTTTAATCTGTCCGACACACACACACAGCCTCCTTTCTCTCCCACACTGTTAGACCTGCTCACGTGCACTGAGGATAAATAGTCAGGAATGTAACACACACACACACACACACACACACACACACACACACCCACTTCAGGAAATCTCCTGGGAACGAGAGAGAGAGAAGAGTTTCAACATCGCTCCAAAGCAGAGAAAATCTCCCAGAAACTCTGCAGCACTTCAAACAAGTTTAAATGGATGAAAACCGTCTGCAGCGTCTCAGACTTTAATATTAAACTGTGTAAATAAGGAGTCACTCATAGTTTGACTTTGTGAGCTCAGTCCGATCAGGTTCACACAAAGTTAACATAAGAGAAGAAGAATGACACTGTAAAGAGCTTGTAACACCAACCTTCACAACAGGGTCCTAAGTCTCTGACTAGACTCTTCTCCTCTGTCGCCACCCGGTGGTGGAATGAACTTCCAAACTCCATGTGATCTGCAGAGTCCCTCTGCACCTTTAAGAAAAAGCTAAAGACCCAGCTCTTTCATGAATACCTACTAACTTAATGATGATGGTCTCCATATTATTGATGATGATGATGGTAATGACGATGGTTTTTGTTTGATAATGACGACTTATAAGATGGTTTCTATACTGATTAGAGCTCTCAAGAACTGCCCTCAATGTTGTGCTTTGCCTCTGGTCACTTCCTGTCAGCACCTGTGTGTCCAATCAGACTCAAAGCTGATCGTTTGCTCTTACTCACATTGTTCCCTTTTTTCTAGATCCTTGCTTGTGTTGTTCTTACTCTCTGATGTACATCGCTTTGGATAAAAGAGTCTGATAAGTGAATTGTAGAATTGTAACACTCCGAGTATCCAGTAATAAAATGCCTTAAAGCCAACGTGATAGCAAACATTTTAAAAAGCAGTAAAAAGGTACACTAGAAGAGGTGCAGGCAGGGAAACTCAAAACAGACCAGCACACAACTTCGTCCCTATGACTGAATGAGAAGGTAAAGGAGCCTGACATGTGTTCACACTTTCAGGATGTGCTATGTGTTTGGACACAAACAACCACATTTATTTACCTGGAGTTTTGGGAGATCGCAGCAGGAAATATTCAGGAGAATTCTCTGTGAGCAAGCAGGAGGGGGAGGGGTGGTGACGTTCATATCCTGCTGCAAGACTGGTGCCATCTCCATTCACACTGAGTGCGTGTGTGAAAACGACCATAGTGTCAGTTCTCATCCCTTTGTCGAGACTCTGGGATGAAAACATTTTGTAAAGAGAGTCAGACGGCTGTAAGCCTCAGCGTGATGTAACCACCTGTAGCCTGACCCTGTTTCCTCGTCTGTTGCCCTCCAGCGGACATCCTGGTCTACATCAACGACAGCTGTGTGCTGGGGCGCTCTCACAAGGAGGTGGTGGAGATGCTGAAGTCGGTGCCAATGGGTCAGAGTGTGGACGTGGTGCTGAGGAGAGGTTACCCCATGCTGTATAACCCTGATGGATGTCCCAAACAGAGCCTGGAGACGGTATGAAGTGTATTTATATTTATGGTTTCTAATAATATCATAATGTCAATGTTTTTAATAGTGACCCTGTATTTAACCCTTTCACAGCCACAAAACCCCTCCAACCCCCCCAATGGGACCCGCAGCCAGACACACCTCACCTACAGCCGCCCGCTGGATGCCAACGGAAGCACGCCAGGTAACAAATCAAACTCACAGATAAAATGCTTGTTTAAATCTTATCAGAGACTCTAACATCTTTATATGTGATGTTTTGATCCAGCAGATGTCGCCCTTGAGCACCAGCATGAAACCAAAACAACTCGCGCTGCATTGTTGTGTTAGCATGCTAATGCTAGCGATCTTTATTATGCTGGTATCTTCACACTGCATGTAAATTTACCTGAAATGAGCGTGATCTAGAAACACAGTTAAGCAGTGAGTACAGTATGTTATTCTTCTTTTCTCTAGTCCCTCAATTAAACAACTTTTATACACGAGGGGAGGAGTCAGCCGGCCGTCCGGGCGATGTAAACAAAGTGAAGATAGGACTCTGAAAACTCTGAAAACATCACAGACAGTGGGACTCGGGTGTTACACCCATTGTAGACAGTCATGACTCACAGAGTTATTTTCAGAGGATAGGCCTATACTTGATTTGTAGTGTGAAAAATCACATATAAAGCCTTTAACACACGTATTATAGTCTGTAAAAGGTTTTCAAAATTGTTGATACTTTTCTAACCATCCTCTCCAGTTTCACCCTCTTTTCCAAATGTTGCCGATGTTTTTGTGCATTTTAGACAGCGTGCTGGACTTTCCTTCCAATATTTGTTCATTTAAAACAAGAAGTTCCCCAATGTAGGTTGTCCAGGACTTCTATTTTTGATGGTGTGGTATCAAAACACAAATCACTATGGTTTGATTTTAACTGGTCTTGTATTGAAGTTTAAAATTCTGGTATCATGAAAACCTCAGTCCGTGATAAACTCGTCCATCTAACCATCAAATCAACATCTTTCTTTCCAGATTTAATTTTCATTGACTCAGTTATTTTTTTAAATAAAATTGTTTTATTCTGAAAATCTAGGAATGAGCCAAACCCCACCCTCCTACACTGCTCAGCCAATGACGAATGGTCTAACGGGCCCACCCACGCCCACTTCCTCTGACACCCCGCTGGGGCCACCCCTTCTTCCAGAGAGAACGTCTGCCAATCACAGCGACTCTGATGGCGGCATGTCCAGCGTCGGAACACGGAGGTGGGAGGAGCTTCAGTGTTAGCATTAGCAGTGTTAGCAATAGTGACGTAGAGCAGGTTTTTCTACTGTCAAAGGTGTAACACAGGTGACTGATCTGTGATTGAGAAGAGTAGATTGTCATTTATGGGGTCCCACAGGGATGTCGTTTGGTGCTACTGCTTTTTTGTTTTTATTGATGAGGTGGTACACCAGTTACGGATGCTAGATTTTTTTTTCTGTTTTCAGTGTTGAAACCCATTTAATAGGCTTAATTTGTAAAGATTAGCCAGAGATTAGTTACTGTTTATGTGCTTGCTGCATCGAAAGCCCCAAAGTTTTGACCGGATATCAGGTTTAAGAATCATTGTTAAACTTTAAACGACCAATTTACTGAAATTTGAATCACTGGACCAAACTAAGGTGTCAAGGTTATTCCATATTCTTTAATCAGGGACATGCAGCAGCCGTAGTATCAGAAGTCAACTATAGCCTAAAAGTATTAACTGTAATTGTTTTAAAAACATACCTTAAGTTAACACTTTTTTTAAGCTTTCCTCTGCTCCTTGTCCTCCTCTCAGATCTTCTCTGATTCGTTACAACAGCAGCACTCTCCCCGCCCTCTCCTCCTCCAGCCTCCTCCACCATCAGAGCTCCAAGTCTTCAGAGAGCGACCTCTCTACATCGACTCTCCCCATCTCCTCCTCCTCCACACTCCCCATGACATCTTCGTCATCCCACATCATGTCCAAACTGCCCCTCTCTCAGCTGGAGACGGGCCTTGTCCAAAACTCCCCCAGCCCCACTTCTCCCAACAACCCCGGCACATCCTCCATGCCTCCTGGCGCTCCTGTGCAGCGTCCGGCGATGCCCCAGACATCGCTCGCCCTGACCCCACCCAGAGACGTTGCAACGTGTGGCTTTAACGGCTGTCCGGCCAATCATCAGGCGCCCTCCCCCGCCTCCAGAGGGAACTCGGGGCTGGTGCTCCCTCTTGGAGCAGGGTCGCCCGGATCGACACCGAGCGGAGAACTCGTACCAGTGCCCCTTGGGCGCAGCGAGACTGGGGGGCTGGGGTTCAGCGTGACAGCAGGGGGGCAAGGAGGTCAGCTGGCTGTGGTGAGGAGAGTCTGGGATCGAAGGCACTGCCCCTCTCTGCAGCCGGGGGACGCTATAGTGAAGATAAATGGAGCGGACGTCCAGAGTCTCAGCTTCTCACAGGTAAGACACTTATTCTACATCCAACTAGTCCGGGTCACAGTAAAGTAAATCTGAACATGAATCCCTCAGTTTGTTTCTGCTAAATAAAGTCTGACCATGTCTGCAGAGAGAGGTCATCTCTGACAGGGAAAGTCTTCACTGGAAGTCAGGGTTAAAAGCCTAGCATCACGGACGGGACCTCGCTGCATCCTTTAACCTTTTTGATCTTTGTGTCTTTTACTTTATACCCCAGGATTCTAAAAGAGCACATTTTGAGAGAGTACATGCTTTAAAGGTTTAATATGTGATTTTTCACACTTTCACACTTTAATTGAGGGACTAGAGAAAAGAAGAATAACATACTGTACTCACTGCTTAACTGTGTTTCTAGATCACGCTCATTTCAGGTAAATTTACATGCAGTGTGAAGATACCAGCATAATAAAGATCGCTAGCATTAGCATGCTAACACAACAATGCAGCGCCAGTTGTTTTGGTTTCATGCTGGAGCTCAAGGGCGACATCTGCTGGATCAAAAAATCACACATAAAGTCTTTAAGGCATCATTGAGCTGAATTCTGAATCCCTTATTTAACCTGCTGTACTTCTGATTGGTAATTCCTCCAGATGATTAAAACCAGGAGATAAACTTTTACTGAACAGGTCCTGAACTAGAGCTGGTTCCTAGAGAATCAACTCCCTGATATCTGTACACTCTTGGAGAGGGTTTGAAAAAAAGATTTCGGATACGGGGCACTTCAAAAAGTTTCCATTTAACCTGTTAAACAATAACATTTTGGTGCATTTGTTTCCTAAGGTCCAGAGAGTGCTGCAGGAACACACCAAACAGGGAGAGGTGGTCCTGCTGGTCTACAGAGGAGGTACTAATGAACATGTGAACCCAAAACCCAAACCGATCTGCTCATTCATGATTTTTTTGATTTTGTCTGGCACTAATAAAAGCACGAGCAGCACCACGGTTTAACACTTCCTCTGTCGTCAGCATCCTCCTGCATGTTTCTGATCGGTTTAGTGAAACACCAAAACCAGTATCTGTCCTGTGTCCTCCCCCAGGTCCACTCTCTTCCCCAGTCGTCACCCCCAACATGTACAAGTCCCTCCCCTCTCCGCAAAGCCAGGCCACACCCTCTTCCTCACACCCCCCAACTTTAGCCGACTTGCCTTCCCCGTCCACGGGTGCCTTGGTGGGGGGCGTCCCCCCACTCAACCAGGCCGGCTTGGTCTTGGAGAGTCCCCAGGAGGGACACCTACCAGCCCCAGGGACCCACCAAGGTAAATGCACACCTGTCTGTTACGCCTGTGCAAAGCCGTAGACCTCCTTCAGGTGTCATTTTCTCACCGATCACATCCTTCTTGTTCGCATGCTCCCATCAGTCTGACTCCTCCTACTTCTCCCCCTCCTGTCCTCATCAATCTGACTCCTCCCACTTCTCCCCCTCCTGTCCTCATCAGTCTGACTCCTCCCACTTCTCCCCCTCCTGTCCTCATCAATCTGACTCCTCCCACTTCTCCCCCTCCTGTCCTCATCAATCTGACTCCTCCCACTTCTCCCCCTCCTGTCCTCATCAGTCTGACTCCTCCTACTTTCCTCATCCTGTCCTCATAAGTCTGACTCCTCCCACTTCTCCCCCTCCTGTCCTCATCAGTCTGACTCCTCCTACTTTCCTCATCCTGTCCTCATCAATCTGACTCCTCCCACTTCTCCCCCCTGTCCTCATCAGTCTGACTCCTCCTACTTTCCTCATCCTGTCCTCATAAGTCTGACTCCTCCCACTTCTCCCCTCCTGTCCTCATAAGTCTGACTCCTCCCACTTCTCCCCCTCCTGTCCTCATCAGTCTGACTCCTCCCACTTCTCCCCCCCTGTCCTCATCAATCTGACTCCTCCCACTCCTCCCCCTCCTGTCCTCATCAATCTGACTCCTCCCACTTCTCCCCTCCTGTCCTCATCAGTCTGACTCCTCCTACTTTCCTCATCCTGTCCTCATCAATCTGACTCCTCCCACTTCTCCCCCTGTCCTCATCAGTTTGACTCCTCCCACTTCTCCCCCTCCTGTCCTCATCAATCTGACTCCTCCCACTTCTCCCCCCTGTCCTCATCAGTCTGACTCCTCTTACTTCTCCCCCTCCTGTCCTCATCAATCTGACTCCTCCCACTTCTCCCCCCTGTCCTCATCAGTCTGACTCCTCCTACTTTCCTCATCCTGTCCTCATAAGTCTGACTCCTCCCACTTCTCCCCCTCCTGTCCTCATCAATCTGACTCCTCCCACTTCTCCCCCCTGTCCTCATCAGTCTGACTCCTCCTACTTTCCTCATCCTGTCCTCATAAGTCTGACTCCTCCCACTTCTCCCCCTCCTGTCCTCATCAGTCTGACTCCTCCTACTTCTCCCCCTCTAGTCCTCATCAGTCTAACTCCTCCTTCTAGCCCTGTCCTTATTCTTCTGACTCCTCCCCCTTCCTCGTCCTCTCATCATCCTCTCCTCCTCCTTGTTTTCTTCAGGGACCCCTCCAGCCCAGACTCCTAACGGCTCCCCAGCCTCGGCCCTCATCCAGAGCACCAGCTTCCTGGACTCGGTTCCTGTGACGCTGACTTTAGAGCCGCGGGATCTCCTGGGAGTGGAGGAGAGTGCGGGGGGGCCTCCTCCTGTCAGAGGGGGAGGAGCAATGGGCGCAATATCCAAGGATGGAAGAGGAGCGAAGATGGTGGAGGTAGAGCTGAGGAGGCGACCGGGAGAAGGCTTTGGATTCGTTATCGCCTCTCAGGAAGTGACCAATGGGGGTGAGTCCTGTACACTATCTTATTACAGGCTGGCATTGTTGCACCATGTCATAAGTTGTTATTTTGATTATGACTTCTTAGTAACGTTCTTATTTTGCATGTGAACGTGGACTATTTTTAAACATGCTGAGTAAAAATATTTAAGTTGGATGATAAAAAGGCCGTATCTGAAGTTTCGCAAGCAAGTTATCCAAACACACAATATTAGCAAATATACACAATATAATATTAAATACAAAATAAATAAGCACTAAAAGTATAAAAACTAAGAATGAGAATATAACTGTGTAAAGGTGTAACACAGGTGACTGATCCGTGGTTGAGAAGAGTAGATGGTCATTTATGCCGTCCCACAGGTATCGCGTTTTGGTGCCACTGCTTTTCTGTTTGATGTGGTACACCAGTTACGGATGCTGGAATCTTTTTCTGTTTTTCAGTGTTGAAGCCCATTTAATAGGCTTAGTTTGTAAAGAGCAGCACTCTCCCCGCCCTCTCCTCCATATCTGAGGAACTAAGTTTCAAGGCGATCCTGTTGTTCGTTCTGCAGCAGGGAAACAGGCTGTAATGCCTTGAACATTAAAGTTGTCCTCACCAGCAATCCTCAGCTCAGGAGCTCCCAGGAAAATATGAAATAAAACACATACAATGGTTTAATTTCTTGGGCAATATCACAAGGAAGGATGAAGTTCACACAGCCCAATAGAAGCAGAAACTGAGCTGCCTTTTTAGTATTTCTCACTTTAATGTATGATGTGTGAAGTGCACTATCAAGACAGGTACAACAAATGTGTCTGTGAGGAACTCTGCAGCCTATAGGGGGCGCTGTCAGCTCTCTGTGTGTGCAGTGAATTAGTCCATATACAGTAACGATGAGTCTGGTTGATTAAAGCAGCACCTGAGCTTCAGTTAGCTCCACTGAGTGGTTTAACCACACAGAGAGGGAGAACTCAAATGCATCATCCTCTCTTTTCTGTTTCTCCACATTAACAATAATCTCTCCTGTTAACATTCCTCCCTGCGTGTGTGCGTGTGTGCGTGTGTGTGTGTGTGTGTGTGTGTGTGTGTGTGTGTGTGTTAGTTTCAGTTCCCTCCCACCACTATCAGCTCTCTGTAGGCCACGCCCCCTCTCGCCCAGCTGTCTCTTTCTCTCCCTCCAGCTCTTACTCAGTCTCACTCGTCCACATCAGAGGGATGACCTGCCTCACACACAGAAATACACACAGAAACACACACACACACACATACACACACACACACACACACACACACACACACACACACACACAGATAGACAGACAGAAAAACAGGACGTGTTGTTGTAGTTTTGCATAGTTTTTTAACCGTCCATCATGTTGGAGCGTCTGCAGTCAGCTCTGAAAACTGTGAAGGACTCAAAACGTAAGTCACTCTGTGTGTGTGTGTGTGTGTGTGTGTGTGTGTGTGTGTGTGTGTGTGTGTGTGTCAGGTGTGTGTGTTCCTAAGTATCTGATACTAAGTATTACTGGTTAAAAGCGGCATAGTTTAGTGTTTTGTATCTTCCTGTATCCCGTGTCCTTGCAGATTTGTTGGTGTGTGTGTGTGTGTGTGTGTGTGTGTGTGTGTGTGTGTGTGTGTGTGTGTGTGTGTGTGTGTGTGTGTGTGTGTGTGTGTGTGTGTGTGTGTGTGTGTGTGTGAGTGAGTGTGTGTCTTTGAGTGTGTGTGTGTGTGCGCGTTGTTACTTTTTCCCATATTGGTTGTGTGTGTGCTCCTTGTTAGAGTATTTTTTAGTTTTCTGATGTGTTCACTGTCGGCTGTGTTTTAAGGATTTTAGAAGCTCTGGTGCCCACGTGTCATGTGGTTTGTTAAAGTTGTAATTGGAGTGTTTGACCAGTAGGGGCGCTGTGGAGCAACATCTACAGCTGAGTCTGTATGCTTCTTAATGAAACTCGTTAACGAGCTGTAACATTTAGAGAGAACCAGAAGTAACTTTACTGTAATGTGTTCGTAGAAGAAGACTGTGTTCTTACTGAAGAGGAAGAAACTGAAGAAAAAAAAACAGACATGTCCAGTCGATCACAGAGTCATCCATCCTGACTGAGCATGATGTCATTCATTTTATTAAAATGGAAAACACACAGTGCTGACAACCGTTTTTATCTGGAGTATATATAGTCTGCCTGCCTCTTCCTCCTCCTCTCCTCCTTCTTGCCACACCTCCTTGCCTCCTTGTTTCCTCTCCTCTCTCCTCCTCCTCTTCAGTCTTTATCAGCTCTCAGGAATGTCTCAAATAGTTTCACCTCATTGAAACTGTGTGTGTGTGTGTGTGTGTGTGTGTATGTGTGTGTGTGTGTGTGTTTCACTCAGACTATCAGTAGACTTACATTTATGACCCTCACAGGGCTCCTCAGTGTTGAAGGACTTATCCCCCAAAAATCATCCTTCAAAGACTGGATGATGATTTGAAGGTTTTGAGCGATGATGGTGAATGGAATGATTGAACGCTGGTCATGTGACTGACAGCTATGAATTCAAGGCTAGATTCTAGAGGTCGTTTTTAACCCACCCTGCCAATCAAAGTTGGTGATTTTGGAGTGGCACCTGGGGGGGCAGACTAGAGGTCTGCAACCCAACCCGAGGCCTATGTAAACCCGAGGCCCGACCTCAGGCTAAGGCCTGATAGGCCTTTGTTTTTAAATACGTAATTAGGCCTATTGATTGGATGGATTCATCCTGCCAGTGGACCGCTGGAGGAGGAGATGCTGAACAAAATCAATAAATCAATAAATAAACATTTACTGAGTGTAAACGTCTGCAGAGAGTCGCTGCTGATTGGAGCTCAGAGGAGTCACAATCAGACCTCAACCCGTGTGTGAGATGTGGGACATTCAGCTGTCCAAATACACTGGACTCTGTGTGTGTGTGTGTGTGTGTGTGTGTGTGTGTGTGTGTGTGTGTGTGTGTGTGTGTGTGTGTGTGTGTGTGTGTGTGTGTGTGTGTGTGTGTGTGTGTGTGTGTGTGTTTTCTATTTTTGGCTTCCTGCGGAGCCTTTACGCACTACGTCACACACAAATAAAACATGGACTCTCCGCTAAATTCGGTGTAAAACAACATTTTTGTTTTAGGATGAAATGAAAAAATAATAGGAGTGCATGAGAGTGTGTGTGTGTGTGTGTGTGTGAGTGTGTGTGTGTGTGTGTGTGTGTGTGTGTGTGTGTGTGTGTGTGTGTTACATAACAATAAGCCTCAGCGACACGTCTCTTTAAATTTCACCGCAAGCTGACTGAAGCAGCTCTGAGCTCTGTGTGTGTGTGTGTGTGTGTGTGTGTGTGTGTGTGTGTGTGTGTGTGTGTGTGTGTGTGTGTGTGTGTGTGTGTGTGTGTGTGTGTGTGTCCAGATGTGTCGTTCGTTTACAGCTGTGCCTCAAAAACAATCAACCAAAAACATGTAGATGTTCGCTCGTTCAGATTCAGATTGAAGCTCAGATTTCGGTCAGAGTCCGAGGTGACACATTTATGAGAATCAAAATAAAATAATGATTTAAAAAATAGACTTTTAGTAAATAAAAGATGGTTTCAGGTTTCACTTCCTGACTGTTAACACATCCGACAGAACCTCTCTGATTGGTTAAAAATCATGTTGCATGACCTCGTTCTTATCGACTCAACCTGACACTCAGGTGCTCATGGTTTGTGTGTGTGTGTGTGTGTGTGTGTGTGTGTGTGTGTGTGTGTGTGTGTGTGTGTGTGTGTGTGTGTGTGTGTGTGTGTGTGAGTGAATGTGTGTGTGTGAGTGTGTGTGTTTCACACATTTAGCTGTGCAGTTTCAGTGTTTGAAAAAGTGTAAAACTTTCTATTAATAGTTACTGTAATCCATAATTCATCACACACACCATGTGGAACTGTGTGTGTGTGTGTGTGTGTGTGCGTGTGTGTGTGTGTTCGAGCATGTCAGAGCGCAGGTGAGTTGAAGTTTACTGTACTGTGAAATTGCACAGGAATCACATTGACTTTACACACACACACACACACACACACACACACACACACACACACACACACACACACACACACACACACACACACACACACAGGTAGAGCTCTGCTTCAGTGCAGCTGCTGGATTTGAATTTTGAAGGTAACATTTATCTGTTCATGTGGAAGCTGCAGCTCTGCCAGCTGATACACAAGATGTGAGGAAGATGATGATGATGATGATCAAGGTGGTGATGATGATGATGATGATGATGAGGGTAAGGGATGAAGGTAGAGGAGACTTTCTTTGGAGCTGACACTGCTACAGGTTAATATTTCATCAGTTTCCATCTGCAGTCGGTGAAATTATGTCGTCGGAAGTTTCACCAAAATGTTCTCAACATATTTCAGACAGTCAGTGAACGCATCACACTGACAACCGGCTTCGTTACTCCAGAACCAGACAGACACTACATCACATTGTATATCTTTTAAAATACGGTCAAAACGTTTGATATTTCTATACATTTTTTAACACCATGTGTTTGAATCAATAAATCTTTAATGACATCTATTTCAAAAGACAGGTGGCCAGCGTACTGAGACAAGAAGAAGAAATGTCTGCACATCTTTACATGCTACAAAACCTGCTTAGTTTAAATTTCAAAATTTAATTTCAAAATCATGCTGCACAAACTGTCTGGGTTATATTGTTTTTATATTTAAATCAATAATCAAAAGACTAGAGGACCACAGATTGAGCCCTGTGGTACACCTAATTTATGTTTTTAGTGTTGTGGTAGTTAAACGTACAATATGTAGAATTTTATGACAATGTTTACATTCACATATCTAAATTGATAAAAAAAAAGTTATATATATATTTTTGTTGTTGAGTACTAACAGAGAGAACTCGCATGATTCCCTGCTAGCCTAGACGTCATCTTTTAATATTGTAGTATCGATTGAGAAACTACATGTTGTATCTTTAAATTGAACACACTGTTGATGTTATGATCCGTTGTTTTGGAAAGCTCTCCTAGGTCTACTCACTCAGGCTCTGCTGTTGTTTTGAGTTTGTTTGTGTTGTAATATTTAGTCTCTTCTAGGTCATAATTTGTTTCTCTTTTTGGTCATTTTGCATGTCTGTGAGGGGGTTTTGTGTGTTTGTAGTTATTTTTGTTTAAAGACGTATGATGCTGCAGCATCTCGGGGATGTTAGTCTGACTTCACATCGTTTGTGTTATGTTTGTTACAGGAGTTTTTACAGCTGCAGAGACTCTGAGTGATGTGACGTTTTATCGTTCATGTTTGGTTATTTTTAGAGCCACAGAGTTTTTGTAACATCACAGCTGTCTGTCTGAATAACATCTCTCTCCCGTTTCCTTCACTTTCATTTATTTCTGTCAGCTGCAGCTTCATGTTTCCTCCTCTGCACTCTGAACATGTTCAACTCAGCACTTTGTTATCAGCTCACATGCTAACATCCCCCCTCCCAGCTGTGTGTTTGTGTTCAGTTCAAACATTGTTAAACACACACACACTTTGACTCTTTGATATTTTAAAGCGACTTTAAAGAGGCAGTCTGCTGTTTTTTCCTGTTTCAGTCCATTCTCTGTCTGATCCGGTTTACAGTAAGTCCTGCAGAGTACAGAGTGGTTTATTTGTTCAGTTCAGTGTCGCACAGTGTGTGTGCGTGTTTGTCTGTGTGTGTGTGTGTGCGTGTGTTTGTGTAAGCTCTACAGGCCAACAACAGCTCCTGAACACGCCACAGTCTCTTTGATGACTGAAAAAGAACAAATAACGATCCATCATCTGAACCATCGTACGGTTTATACAGTTCTTTACTTTCACAAAGCTTTTTTTTTACCAACAGAAAACATTCAGAAGTTTTAAACACACTGCAGAGACATTAACTGTCCATCAATGTTTCAAATGCACTTAAGCTTTTTTTGTTTATTAGGTTTAATTTATAAAACTTTAATCAGAAGAGCAGAGGACCCAGTATTGCGCCCTGTGGTACGCCCATTTTGTGGTTTAAAGGTGGTAAAGTGTATTAAAACATACTGAAGGTGCTGTGTCTCTTTGTAGTCATGTTGCATCTCTTGGTTGTCCTTTCGTGCATCTCATTGACTCTTCTGTGTCTCTTATTGGTAGTTTCTAGTTTTTATGTCTCTTTTAGATCATTTTTGTGTTGTCGTGTTTGTTTTGTGCATTAAAACAGATGTTGTCCAAGTTATTGTGGTAATTTTATACATCAGAATTGCTGTTTTGAAGCTATGTGTGGCTGTTTTGTAGATTTTTGTGGTTGCTTTGCAGCATGGTGTTGGTGTTTTGTCATTCTTTTTGGCTGATTTGCAGCTTTTTGCAGTTGTTTTAAAGCTTTTTTTGATTGTTTTGTAGCTCTTTGTGGTTGTTTTGCAGTTCTTTGTGGTTGTTTTGTAGCTCTATGTGGTTGTTTTGTGGCTCTTTGTGGTTGTTTTGCAGTTCTTTGTGGTTGCTTTGCAGCTTTTTTAGGATGTTTTGTAACTTGTTGATGTTGTTTTGCAGCACTTTGTGGTTGTTTTCCAGCTGTTTTGGAGCTCTTGGTGTTTTTTTGTGTCTTTTCTATACTCAGGTTGTTTCTCTGATTCTTTTGTTGGTCTTGTCTTAGTTGTTTTGTGTCCCTTAGTGGTAGTTTTTTATCTCGTTTAATGGTTGTTTTGAGCGTCAAGATTAACCTTTTTGCAGATCTTTGCAGCTCTTTTTATCTTCTCTTTTTTGCAAGCCTCTTTTGTATTTTTATCAAATCTCCTCGTGATCCTTTGTCTCTTTCTAGTTGTTTGTGATCATTTTGAATACAATGTTGTTTTTTTTCTGAATGTCTTTGTGGAAATAAGACTTATCAGTAGACCGGAGAGAGGTGTTGGTAAAGGAGGGATATAGAGAGATAATGCAGTTCAGAGTTAAACTATCTTCTGAGTGTCTGATGATGGACACACAGGTGGCCGCTGCTCTGTGATGTAACTGTAAAGCCTCTTACACACACAGTTGTTCCTTTAAAGTGTTTTTTTTCTTTTTTTTTTGCACACTGAGAGGACGTAAACCAGACAGATATATGTCACACTGATCATCTAACAAATCGTTCAGTGTTTGATAAGAGAACCTTATAAAAAGAGACACACGGACCATCAGCCAGTGTTTCGTTACCTTGGCAACACATGTACCTGTTGAGGTGTTGTGAGTGGTCTTGGACTTCATGTTTGATCTGCTTCTGTTTGACTCCACGACCTGAAACTGAGCAAACAGATGGATACAGGTCAGGAAGCTTTCATGGTACAGGGTCAGTCTGCCTGTGTGTGTGTGTGTGTGTGTGTGTGTGTGTGTGTGTGTGTGTGTGTGTGTGTGTGTGTTGTTCATGTGATCTGTCTGGAGGAGAACAAACTGTTTTTGTTTTCAGTCTCTTTGTTCTCAGTTTTTCACTTATTAGTTTCTGAGCCAGAAAAATCTTGCAGAGTTTCTCGCCCTCCTCCCTCCCTGAGGTTTCCACACAGATTCAGGACCAGGTGTGTGTGTGCGTGTGTGTGTGCGTGTGTGTGTGTGTGTGTGTGTGCATTTCTGTGTGATGAAATAGGCCGTGGGTGTTGTAAGAGCTCACTCCCACAGTTGTTTTTCTCTTAGCTTGGACACAACGTCTGCCTCCAGAAAGTAACACATTGGTTTAAAGTCTAATCAGGTTTCAACACAAGATTTCTCAGCCTCTGAAACAAAAGAAAAAACTTGTCATGTTCGGTCTCTGATCTGATGCTCTGAAGTCTTTAACGTCAAAGGAGGAGTCCGAGATTCAGAAGAAAATGTCTTAAAGTTAAAGACGAAGAAAGAGAGGGGAGAAAACGTAATATTCTGTAGGGGGGGGGAGGGTATGGAAGCAGGATGCTAACTCTGAGAGGATTCTCACTGCTTTGCTTTAGGCCACACAGCCACTAGGGGGCAGTGTCACTGTAAACCCAAACAGGATGTTCTTGTTTGCTGCGTCCTCCAACAGCATCTGAGGATTTAAAATCTCTAAATTACAGTCTCCCCCTTTTCTCCCCACAGCAGCTGCGAGTTCAGCCGAGCAGAGCGAAGACAGCTCAATTATTTAACCTCAAACACATTTATTATTACACAGCTGTCAGGGGGGAGGAGGTGGGGGGGGGGGGGGGTTGCAAAGATTAAGACTCTCTGAGTCACAAGATCAGTTTGTCATCTTTATCATCATTTCTTGTAACTCATCTTCTCTGCTGTGCATCAACCGTTGCCATGGTTACAGGTAAGCCTAACTCTGACTGCTGGCTGATGACTTATCATTTAACCCCCCGACCTCTGTCTCTCCGCAGCCCCCTCCCTGATGTCTCACCGGTTTGTGACGGTGCGGCGGGGCAGCCCGGCGGCTCGCAGCGGGCAGATTCAGCCCGGGGACCAGCTGGATGCAGTGGAGGGCCGAGCCGTGGGGGGGCTACAGCACCGAGACCTCGCCCAGATCCTGAGGAGGGCGGGGAACACCCTGAGACTGAGCATCACCCCCCGACACCGTGAGCTCAACACACACACACACACACACACACACACACACACACACACACACACACACACACACACACACACACACACACACACACACACACACACACACACACACACACACACACACAACACACACACACACACACACACACACACACACACACACACACAAACACACGCACACACACACACAGTAACCCACATGTCTAATAAGTCCTCCTCACTCTCTTTCCTTCTATCCTTGGTTCCTCCCCTTTCCTCATCTCCTTGTCTCCTCTCCTCAGACTCGTCCTCTCTGTCAGAAGGAGCAGAGTTGGACATTGATGGTCGGGTGATGAAAGGATCCAGAGGGAGGTCAAAGGTCAGTGTGATGCTCTGTGATGCTTCTTACTCCTCAATCTAAAGACCTGGTACTGATCCTAGCTAACCCCCCCCCCCCCCCCCCTCAGGACGAGTCCAGGTTCTACAGCGTGGATCTTGAACGAGGTCCCACAGGTTTCGGTTTCTCTCTGAGGGGGGGCAGCGAGTACAACATGGGGCTTTATGTGCTCGGACTGATGGACGGGGGGCCGGCCCAACGCAGCAACAAGATACAGGTACACACACACACACACACACACACACAGACACACACACACACACACACAGACACACAACACACACACACACACACACACACACACACACACACACACACACACACACACACATACACACAGACACACACACACACAGACACACACACACAAACACACAGACACACATACACACAGACACACAGACACACACACACACAGACACACACACAGACACACACAGACACACACACACACACACAGACACACACACACACAGAACACACACACACACACACAGACACACACACACAGACACACACATACACAGACACACACACACACACACACACAGACACACACATACACACACACACACACAGACACACACAGACACACAGACACACACACACACACACACACACACACACACACACACACACACACACACACACACACACACACACAGACACACACACACACACACACACACACACACACACACACACACACACACACACACACACACACACACACAGGGATTCTCCCTCAACATATTAAGTGATTTTATTAATTGAACACTTCCCGTCTGTTTCTGCACATCAAACATTAAAACATCACAGCTGTTAACACGCTCTCTGCTTCCTCGGGCTTTAAATATTCAACAACACTCAGAGGGCGAGGAGCTGGGAGCGCCCCCTGCAGGCTGCTGCAGGTTAAATATCTACATAAATATATAAACACAAATCTGTTTCAATCCAGCTGTTGAAATTTATCATTCTATGACATCAGCATCCAACAGGAAACAACCAGGTACAAAGAGGGAAGCCAGCACTAAAGTGTGTTCTTAATGTCCAGCAGGGGGCGGTTAACATTTTTCTCGTGAGTTTATGGACTCAATCTGTAGTTTCACGTCTTCTTCAACACGGCACGATGTTCATTTAGTAAATGATGGTCTCATTAAGAGTTGAATATATTAAGAGACCAGTAGGAGTAGGAGGAGTTATGGCAGGGCTCCCTGTGATTGACAAGTGGCTACCATGGCAACCTAAACAATGTCTTATTGACCGTTTGGCTAATCTTAAAGACACTTTGAGGAGGCGCTTGTGGTTAATCATCTGACAATGTAAACATTAACCGGTGTTACGGTTTATAGAGCGACCGTGTTAACTGGTGACTTTAGTGGTTGTCGTGGTAACAGACATGATGATCAGTGTTTTTGACACTGCAATAAAAATAAAAAAAAAAAGCGACATTGGTTCATTCTTAAGGAAACTTAAGATGTCTTCCACATTGGTTGTTACTATGACAACCACAGACGCATTTGGCTAAAAGTCGCCAGGTAACACGGTCACTTTTTGAACCGTTACACCGGTGTTATCAAATCAACAAAAACATCCATGACGACTCAGAAAATCTACGAAAAAACAGAAACTATTTTTCACACATCACCTCTGTCGTTACTCTCACAGCACTCAGGAAGTACCTTCAAGTCAAGCAGCATTTCACAATAAAGGTCGTCTGGGGCATAGACGGGCATTTTGGCTAAGACCAGAATTTATCTTCAGTTCAAGGTTGATTTGTGTTTTACAGTACATTAAAATTCTAAACAAAGCGACATTGGTTAATTCTCAAGGACACTTAAGAGGTCTTCTACATCTGTTGTTACTATGACAACCACAGACGCATTCGGCCAAAGTCGCCAGATAACACGGTCACTTTTTGAACCGTAACACCGGTGTTCAAATCAACAAAAATAGAAGATGACTCACATGTCACCTCTGTCGTCACTCTGAAGGCGCTCAGGAAGTACCTTCAGGTCGAGCAGCATTTCACAATAAAAGCGGCTGGGGTATAGACGGCCATTTTGGCTCCTTCTGTCTCTATAAGATCGAGGTTTGGACGTTAACATAATACCCAAATTTATCGTAAGTTCAAG